CGCAGTCATCGCTGTTTGACAGACACGTGTTAGGTAGCACATGCATTTTTCGCTTAATGCCTTGAGCATCTCAGGGCGGATTTCGTCAATTCCAGCAGCCTTTGCATTTTTCATGCTTTTTAAAGCTTGTGCAATTTCATCTACAGAGATAGTAATATCCGTAGCCTTCTGCTCTACAGGCGAGTATTGCTGCTGTTGCGCGGGGTTAAGGAGTTTCTCAAAGCACTCCCTCCATCGCCGAAGAATGTCATCATCCTTAGTAAGAGGGTGTCCAGGTCTGTCCTTAAAAACTCTGAAACTGCTCTTCTTAACTCGCAGCCAGTGGATGGTAGGTAAGAAAGCCTTGTTTGCCATGTGGAAATTCGACTCCAACACCTCATAGAACTTTTCCCAGGAATCATCTTTGGGTTTCGCTACTGCTTTCGCTGCCGCCTTGCGTGCTTCGACGTTTCGCACGCGAGTAGAAGGCTCTTTGTTTCCAAGCCATTTCTTGAACGCTGCGTTCTGTTTAACTGCCAGCTGTACCTGTCATATCCACCAGGAAGACCTTTCCTGATCTCCAGGCGGCAGGCGAACCCGTTTAAATTCTCAGCATTTGGCTGCAGCATCGAGTATGCCGCTTTTAAAGAGCTGCCACTCGGTTTCTGCAACAGTAGTCATCGCCGGGATCTGTTCTGACCATCGTGTCATGTTGCTTGCAAATTCCCTCTCGTGTCCACCAAAGATGATGTTTCCCGTTTGATTCTTTGGTTACTTGTACCACCAGATCTTCGTATTGTACTCCATTTCTTACAGCGCATGGTGCCAGCAACAAGGTAATGATCGATTGATCGCTCTGCGTTTCTTGTAACGCGAACATGCATTACTGTGAGTCTCAAGTCAGTCGATGCGATTATTAAATCAGTCCGTCATCTACTTCTGTGCTCAAGCTTCCCGGTACTAGGTATACTGAGGCACTCTTCGATGCTCGTAGAAGGTGTTCGTAATTGACTGTCCGTTGTTTGCACAAAACCGCAACAACTTCATGCCGTTATTGTTGAGGTCGCTAAGGCGGTTTTTTTCAATCACGCCGTTTCTCTTTTCAGCATCTATTGCGACATGCGCATTAAAATCGCCCATGGGTATGAGGTACTCTGTATTCGACATTTCGGATAGAGCGCACTGCACTTTCTCTAGGAAAGTGTAATATTTTCCCTCCAAATTGGGCGCAGAGACCTGTACCAACATCAGCGCTTTAGACCTGTTGTAGCTTGAGCCAGAAGTTTACCACCCTTCGCCTGACAGGCTTCAAATCAATGATTCTGTCTGAGATATTGGTTTCTACCAGGACAGCAACACCGGTCTGACCACGCGTCGTGATATCGACACCTGAGTAGAGCAGCTTCTACCCGCAGTGGTTCAGGATTTCAGAGCCTTGGCTCTTGGTTGATGGCATTCCAAGAATGTTGAATTGGCACTTTATGGCTTCATCGACTAACCCTTGTTCTTTCCCTCTTAGTGAGAATTTATTCCCATTTCCGACTTTATTCTTCCTGCGCCGATGTCATTCTCGTAGAGCCTTTCTGACATACTGTAGTGTCATAGCTCTGTTTGCCTGCCCATTTCAGAACGGGTTGGGATTCCCTTGGTTCTTCGTTGTCGTTTGTCGGTCTTCTTCTTGCGTTGTTGTTCTGCTCTGTGCCCGGATGACAGAGATAGATGAATAGGTTCTGGTCGGCGACTTTTCGCAGTCTGCTTCAGTCCCCCAATGACTTGCGCTGTCCTTGGTAAGCCGGAAGACGACCGAGCCGGTATTATTTTCGATGGCGTGAATACCATGATTGGCAGGTGGCGAACTTTTACGGAGACTTCGCCACGGTCTGCAGTCCTGCTCCTTTCTGAGCAGGGCTTGGGACCGGCAACGGCGGTGTTCGACGGTGTAAATTTTTCGTGATAATTTTCTTTAGCAGGAAATGCCTTCATTTTGCTCTGATGTGTTCAGCTGAGGATCGGTTGGTAATTCGATCAACAGTTTAGTTTTACTTGTTTTGGCATTCGTGTCGTTGCTGAATATGCTTCTGATCATGTTGTTCGATGTGCAAGTTACAATTTTGCATTCAAAATAAGTCTTTTGTGTTTGCTGCATTGGTGAATTCTGACCGTGGTATCGATCACCATTCTTTCGGCTACTGCTGTACGATTGAGGTTCGTGATTAACATGTTTAGGCTTTCCATTATACCGAAGCCAGAAACATAATGACACAAATCGACAGTCCATGGATTACACGCGCTGAGTTTTGCTTTCATGATGACTTCGGTCTCCGTTTGGTCACCGAGTTAAATCATGGCTGTACCCTACAGCATTTTTTTAAAGTTTCCGAAAAGCCGTTGTTCGAAAAAGTCGTCCGAATATTTGCTTCTGAAATTAGCGAGGCGTTGCATGTGCTCCATGGACATCGCTACATGCACGGGTACTTGCATTATCCAGTGATTGACTGACGCTGTTGCGCTGTATTTGATATTTTAGGAATTTGAATCCTTCAAATGTCATGATCGATATCCATGGACACATAAAGTTGGGTGGCTTTGGTCACGCATTGAAGTTGGATCAGAGTGATCAGGTAATTTGACCATTCGGCGCTTCCTCATCGCGTCATTTTCATTTTCTGTATTGCCATTAAACAGGCAGTAGGAAAGTTTGCACTACGGTCCAACTGCATGCAGTACATGAGCCCTGAAATTATCGATCAGTGCCAACAGAATAGATCGAACGGATCACCGATTGTGTTCAGTGCTTCCGACGATTGGTGGTCACTGGGTTCGATTATTGTCGAATTGCTTGCTGGCGTCAACTTATTCCAAGGTGACACAGATGAAGCTACGTGCCGCAAGGTTCTAGATTGGACTTCGATGGTGAGCGCGCGATTGGTTTTTGACACTTTATGGCACTTTCGTTTATTGTAGAAGAAACTTCTGCACATTCGTTTCAAGAACTTGCCTTCGGTTCACGATTTCGTCACCCGACTTGTGACCAGCCGCGAATCCAGAATGACCTACGCAGACGTCGTCAATCATCCATGGATGGCAAATATCGACTTTGAAAACCTCAGAAGCAGTATGTAGCATCTGTAGTTAGGGATCATTGGCTCTCCGTCCATTTCGATGAGCGTATCAGCGTTAAACCGGAATATATATGATGGCCATTTTACACAGAAATTGAGCAGGGCGTTATTTTGCTACTAAGAAGTGGTAAAATTTAAGCTTTACTCCGAGTAGTTGTTACTTCATGTGGGGGTTCATTTCAGTGGCTATCTTGAATTGATGAATTACTAAATATACTGGCACAAAACTAATGGTTATGTATGAACAACTTCAAAGTCTTGTTGGAATTCTTATGAGACTGGTTAACCCGTTAAAATCATAAACTTCCTAAGTTTGATACCTGTTTTATGACTCTGATGGCTGGAAATATTTTTTGTAGCGTTCATCATGACTCGTATAAGTTCCTCAGGATTGTGGCTAACAATTTCGAAGTCGATTAAGAAATTGTTTTCAGCTTTGTAATAACTTAGAAGCACCGTCGAGCTTCATTGTGACAGGCGATTATTTACTTCCATCGTTACGCGCTTCGTGACGGAGATGCTGACGGACGGTGTAATGCGCCGTGAAATCTGATCTTGTATGACTTTAGTGTTATTCAACTTTCGGCGTGCAAATATATTCTGATCTTTATGCGGTAGCATATAAGGAGTACCGTCTCTTGAAACATTATTCGTAATGAGCGCGAGGTTACTCTAGCAAACAGTGTCATGGGAGATGCATCTGACACTGCGGATGATCAGATATATAGCCTTAACATAATTACGTGACCATTTCCCCTTCCCTAGAAAACCGTGAGCAAGAGGACGGTGTAGTTTATTGTGAACTGTTGCCATAAAGGAGTTGTGCGTTATTGAGCATACTTTGAAGTTTATACCTTCTTTTACTGTGACGTTTGTAAAGAAACAGTGTACCAGCATTCCAAAAGCGCCACTTTCACTTTGCAGGCAGGAAAATATCGTCGGCTTAACTGCTGTTTTAAACTATTTATTTAATGGCAGAATTAAGTTAGGACTTCAGGAATCATGAATTGCTTCTTATTCTTGGCCTTACCTGTAGAGTGGACAATGTGTACATTAATTACTTTGACATATTTAATGAATTATGCGTAGTGAAACATCTGCTTTAGCGAATGGTACTGCCTCTTGGTTATAATCATGGTACATTGTGAAAGTTTCCTTGCTTTAATCTAGGTATTTTAAATCTTTACTTTTGCTGATCGTCTTTTCGTGATAGTCTTTTCGTTTTCTACTCAGTATATCTACCTTTATGGTAGACAGTGTTGCCGTGAAATTTGGCTGTGCAAATTTGACGATTTATGCTTTGCTTGTGCCTACAACTGTCGAATTGGTAGATTCTTTTCTATGTGTGCTGGCAGTATGTCGATTTAATTTTACATAGCTTTTGTAGAAAGTCTTGTTGGTCAAGTGCTTGCGCAATACTTTGAATAGAAAGGTTGTAGATTAGAAATTTGAGGAATACGTTTTAGATTATTGGTGGGAAATCATTAAAGATACGCAACAAAGTGCCCATCTCATCGGTACCGAATAGCTATGATAGCGGGCTGTAACAATTACAGTTTATTTGTGGGAGTACATAATGGAAAGGTTTAAATGACCTTACTTTCATTATATGTAAAGTATAAAATCTGCTGTTTAAGTTGTTCTGTAAGGAAGGCTAGAAACTCGAGCCAAAACTCTGTTCTGCTTTCAAGACCCTTTAGGCAATTGTTTTTGTCATGTATGTGTCACGACGTCTATTTCTTCGGCTGTATCACCCACTCGATCACGTATGTTTTTTCAGTATCATCGACTGTCTGTCAGCATATAGACATCTCGATAAATGTTGTAAAATGTTCCGTGCTTCTGTTTAGCTTCTTAAGAGTGATTGTTGTGCACTGATCTAATTAGCTGAACGAATTGCTTTTCATCGTGTTACCAAATTAATGGTTATTTTCGTAGATGTGGTGCCCATTCATGTAGATATGTTGACGGTGAATCCCGTCACTGATTTCGTTCCAGCAGGATATATGCCTGATGGCGAAATGACACCTGCCTGCCTCTTGAAACGCTACAACTATGCCAAAACGCTTATCGGATTTGCGTACAACGCCTACTTAGCAGACGCTTCCAAAATGTAATATCATTTCCTGTTCGTTACTAAGTGATCTCGACTTTTTTTGCAGCGATACGGAATATAAACTCGTCAGGCTGATGAACCAAAGAGATAACGAAATACACACACTGCATAACTCGGCTTTGAGGCAGAGTTGCTTACTCATGGAACAGAAAGACAGAATCAGGCAAATGGAACTTAAGCAGGCCTTTTTGCATTTGGAAGCTACACAGAATGCGAAAGAACTTAAACGAACAATGTCGCTACTAAACAAATCTCACCATACTTGTCAGGTAACCGACTTAAAGTTGAGGACATTGAACGTTTAGGTAATCCTTGAAGTTTTCTAACTTGTGAAAAACGGAAGGAAGGTTTTTCTCTATTAGAATATTGGTCTGTCGTGCATTTTCATGAAGTTACAACTTTTACCATTAAGATTATGATATGTTGCTAATTGGTGTCATTATCTAGGAATGACATACGTTCATTCGTAGGCAACGTATACAGTTTGGTGCCCACTGCAGTGTATAATCTCCTGTTGCTTTTCTACAAAACAGTAATAATTTCTCTGTCTCTGGCAGATGGAAAGTGAGTGGCTTGGTCACAGTTTGAACAAACAGTGTTTCGATTGCAGTTCTGACATGCTGTTGTTTGCATAATCTGGGATTCTAACCCTTAAAGTAAACAGACCTCCTAGTAAATAATTGCGTCAAATATTTATCATTATTATTCAATTTTCTCATGGAGTGCTACCTTTATAGTGACTGACATTCTTTTTCAGCAGTAGTTGCTTCTTTCTTCATGACGTGGCCGGAACATTGTAGTTTTCGCAATATTTTTTTGAGCAGCGAATATTGAGTACGAGGGAGTTGCAGGATCTCCTCACTGTTTTTATGGCCTTTTTAAGAAATTCGCATTTGCCATCGGTGATGCCATATTTTGAAGGTTTCAACGGATTTGCGTTCTTCCTTGATAGTCCAGTATTCATGTTTTTGGCTTGTGACGACAAACTAGTCAAGTTTGAAAATGAGGTTGAAAATGCTATAATCTTTTCATATTCTGACCAGTCCTACCATGGAAAAGTTCTGGTATGTATTGAAAATGATGGAAGTAGATCTTACAGTTGTCGTTGAATGACGCCTCCAGTATCTCTACAAGTGGCGATACATGACAGTTCTGCTTCGACTGCGGTTATCCGCTCCACACAACGCATCGTAGCGTCAGTTAGCTCGAAGCGTTGGAGGTTGACAAAACGAAAGCATCCCTTTAATTGCTTTATAGGAAAGGGGCTACTCTCTTCAGATTCGCACTATAACATATATTGATGCATATAAGGCCAATGTATTATCTTCAGATGTTGACTTTTATCGGCTGCCACCGTTCTTGTAGTGCTTGAGTTTGTGCTGTTGCCTCTGCACGCCATACGGATCCTTTTATGCATCCATGGATATTTGTAATGGATTCCTAGCTTGAAACTCCGGGTTTAACTTTTCAACTATATTTGCATGGCTGATTCATCAGGTATGTTTTATATGATAATCAATGGCTAAAACTCAGATTCGCGTCCCCTACTACCTTAGTCAAAAATACTGTTCCTCCTTCGTGAAGTTCAGTCAGTTCCGTTTGATAACTTAGAACAGAAATGCTACGACTTTCATTCGACAGTTGAGTCGCATTTCAAATGACATGTTTATTGCGGCGAAGAAGACTGTTGTTCGAATGACTTTGAACATGGGGATGTTAAGGTGCGACGGATAACCGGATCGCAAACTACGAGTTGCGGACGGAAAACGATTTGAAAAACTGCCTAGCGAACCAGAGACCGGCTGTCATTTGACTAAATTCGCATGTCATGTTATGCTTTGGGTTTTCCAGTGCATATGGCATTGATGTGTGGTTGGCATGGCGAGGACCGATGTTTTATGTCTGATCACATTTCTGCAACCTCCTTACGACTATAATGAAAAACTGTCGAAGACAGACTTCTAGCTTAGTTACATGACCGATTTTTTAATGTTAATATGATGTCTTTTCACGTTAAATTATTAAGTACTTTCTTATGTCAAAACTACAATTCAAAATTTTAGCGGTTGAGGCAAACCCTCAGAATTAATTGTGTCAATTGCAAGGCGAAGGGCGAAGAGCTTGTGCATAAATGTGAAAATCGCTTCAGATCTCTTGTTCAGCAGTCTGCAAAAGTGATTCAATTACTGAAGTAAGTTTTATGAGATGTATCACCTAAACGCGCCAAAAAAATTCCTGGCTCGGATTGTTCGCAGATCAGAACTGCGAATGCATAAAGCCGACAACGCTGTTTTACCTCATACCTGCCAAATGATGTCTGAATTTGCCGAAAAGAGTCAAAAAATTTTGGATGAGCTGAAAGCCAAAGAGCTGACCTTGAAGGCCGAAAACAGCTGTCTGAAAGCTGAGCTGAAGGTAGGTAAATCGCAGATTGAATCTGAACGGCCAACTGGAGTTTTCAGTTTTAACTCGCTGCATTTGCAGAAAGCCACAATGTCAGTAGAACAGCAAAGAGCTCAAATTATTGAGATGCGTGAACGAAGAATCGAAGGAAATTTCAGAGAACATATCACCAATCTCAGCAACGCTCTACTCTTAGTAAATCTCATTTGTGCCGAATTAGTTTTATTAACAGTTTATTATTTTTAGAAATCCGAACAGATCGAAAATCTCCAACGAGTGCACAGAGTAATTTATTTTATCATTAATAATAAACTTATACCCGCCGTAGCTAAAGTTAAATTTGGTTTCGACTGGAACGCCAGGAGAAACTAATACAAACAGTTGCACCGGATGCACGATACCATGCCTGCGCAATCTGGTTTTCATCCAGGTATAAAGAATCATTTTATGGGGTTAGAGGATTCTGTGATGTTTGAGCATCAGCGTATCTCGCATTCACTTTTGACTAGGATAACCTTGCTCGTTTATCAGCTCTTCAGTTTAAAATATGATGGTTCTTATGGATCCTTCTTGTAGTCGGTTCTCGCACGCAGCTGATGTTGCTTGCGAAGGAGAATATACTTTGAGTAAGAAAAATTTGCACTGCTTTAACATACCCTCCATGGTGACAAATGTCTGCGACATAGATGGAATTTTGCCGAAGATATCCAGATATGAAGGACCAAGAATAATAGACGATCACGTCCATTAGTTAGACTTGATAGAAGTTTGCAGGTAGATAAAAAATATATAGCCACTGTGATCTAACTAAACGAAGAAATTCAACCAGCTGTTTTAACTACAATGATGTCGCATTATCGTCAGTTGTGGGGAAATTGTTCTCCTGGATCATATTATGGTATTTGCAAAAGGCTGTTTGTAGCTGAATTTGCTAAATGTTACAAGTTTCTGTCAGGGTTCTCAGGTTTCTGCTAACTTTTTATTCTTCACAGGATTACAGAGCAACGTAGACGGTTCTGTTTACTGTTATGGAATAATGCCATAGAGGCTGAAGCCGCATTCTGTTTGACAGGTCATCCAACGATTACGAAACCTTAGAATGTTTGGGAATATTGAGTACATCATGTCCGTTATGGCAGTGATGCATGCAGGAGGCATGTATGTTTCGAAATCAAATGAGGTATATTTGAGTTGTGGTTGTAGAGTCTACCACTTCGTTGTAGAATTTTCCAGGGCTGTGCTCATTGTCTTCGCTCTTCAGCAGTGTTTTTTGCTTTCTATATTGAAGGTGTCAATTTTAGGAAAGGCAAATGTTTTCCTGAAAGAAGGGCGGTTAAAGATGCCCTTTAAAATGTTTTGCTGACGTTAAGTACGTAAATTCTCTCCCGCTGAGCAGTAAGGATAGCGGATGTCATCGGTTGATGACTTTGGTCTGTGATACGGTAGCACAGGCTGAGCTTGTCCTTAACACCTAGATTTGAAAAGGATGTAGAAACTCGTATAACTAATGGTATAACAATGAGGTGAAACAGTGCAAGTGATTGCCAGTTTAAATAGTTCGATTCCGTCATCTGCACTGACAGTACTAGTCAAGCAGAGTTTAATTGGACCACTATCCTTGGTTCCAGCGCTTTCGACCGCTATTTACTGTTAGGCCTGATGCTAGGAAGTAACATTTTTCACAAAGCACGCTTTTCTGTTGCGTCGGCAGACCAGTGTTGCTACCTGGCATAGGGAAAGTTGTTCTAACGAAAGATTAATAAAGATGGTTGAACAATATAGAGCAACGGTGGCTTCGGCATAGAAACGGAGCAAAATATCACTGCCATTTAAGAAATGACTTCTTTTGCGAACAGGTATCAGTAGTAGAGTTGAAGATAGGG